AACTTAGTTCTCATTGCGTCTTTGCTATTGAGTGTGTGCGCTGATTGGTTCGATTGTTTGAAATCGCGTCGTTTGACTGGCTGTTATCTATAAGAGTGGAAGTGTAATGGAGGCGAGCCGGCGACATCGGGTCCCGTACTAACGGTCTATGATCAACCTTCTAACCACTTTCTGTGTTGCGTGATTGAAACCTTTGTAACATAGAGCAACACAGAAGGGAGTAGCCATACCGACTTTACTATTCAAATCATTTTGCCTTTTTTTGCAGAGGCGAATATGCATACGAACGCAGTTTAACGTACATGCATAAAAAATAAACTGTAATAACTACACTCATACCATAAACAATGACACAATACACCGCCAAATATTAATAATAATAATCATTTATTTCAGGCGTAGTACCTAGGCGTAGTAGTTGTATTACATACAGAAGAAGAAAAAGAATTGAACAAATCCTACACACATTTATCGTTTGTATGCCCAATCCGACAGACGGGAAAGCTGTATATGCCTATTAAAAGAACAAAACAGAGAAGAAGAGACGTTGCTCTATGCTTTGTAATGAATATGCAGATTTATAAAATCGAGATTTAAAAAAGAACTGCGGACGCATTGAGAAAACGCACTCTATTGAACTGAGCTGATCTGAGCAAGGTATTATGTCCAGGGCGCCAACCGCCTAACGGGGTTACTATGGCTATCGTTAACGATTTCATTTTGTTATTTTTGACCGCCAAACGTTTTCCAATGTTATTAGCAAAGCAACGGAAAAAAATGGAGGCGAGATGTATTTGAAAACCTTCGGGAGCAGAAATAACAAAATGAAATCTTAAGCGATACCTATAGCCATAGCAATCCAGTTAGGCGATTGGGCCCGGATCTCTGCGCAATGAATTATTTTTTTATTTGTGAGTGCGATGCACATCATTATTTATTAATGACGCTTTGACAAATACTTATTATCGCGAAAAAATTGCACGTTCCAAAAGCAAATTACCGAATGAGCATTTGAACAGCCAGGGATCAACGCAACGTGACGGGCGCGAGTGCTCCGCGTGACCCCAGAAACTAGGTTACAGCAGCTCCCCGACACGGCACGGCCCGGCCCGGCCCAATCTATCCCGACTACTCCGACTGAACAACTAACAGATGCTGCGCTGATCACCAATTGGACCTGGCTAACTTTATACAATCTTCTTTTTGATCCAGTTACAGAAATACCTTAATTGTTCTGGACTCGAGAGTTGAAATGTTCAAAAAAATACTACAAGAGGTTTTTTTTTATTATTATTCTTAAGCTATTCTAATATTTAGTAGTTTATACGCCGGGTTTCATGGTGTCGCGGACTCGAGAGGTCCCAGGTTCGAATCCCGGTGGGGGCAGATGTTTGTGTGATGAATACGAGCATTTGTTCTCCAGTCATGGATGTTTAATATGTATTTCTATATAAATATCCTTATATATGTACAATATATGATGTATTCTATCCGTTACCCTGGCATCCCATAACACAAGCGTTTACAGTGCTTACTTTGCTTTGGGGCTAGGCTAATTGGTGTGATTGTTGGAAATATATTTATTTATTTATTTAATATCAAATAATAAATTATGAAGCAGCAATAATACTGGTAGCCTTAGGTTAACCTCCTTATTTAAATACGTTTATGATCACTAAACATCCATCGTTGATTATTTTATTAAAATATTATATTTAATATTGTCCTACCTAACTTTGTGGTACCTGCTCAACCTAGTCAATGATGATAGCACGAAAACCTATTGACACAGTGTATTAAAGCATTGAAAATAATCTCAAAAAAAGAGTGACCAAATTTTGTAGTCGTTTTCGACAGTCGTTCAAAAACATTGCAAGCATCTCAAGATAAACTTTCTCTAGTCGTTTTAACTCTTCATAAGTATTTTCTAAAATAATCCTTTTCGATATTCTTCGAGCTAACAAACTGACCATTGTCCTTAGATCAATATTTGACAATCGAAAACAAGGTTTGTACTCTCAAAATCGATAAATCAATGTTTAATATCATGAACCAATGTTGTATATCAAGAACTACGGCGCTTTAGGATGGATGATGATTACGAACACGATATTTCGAAAGTACAGCCCCTTAATAGTGTAATAGATCTTCAAATGCCTTTGAAGCTAAAGTATAATTTTTCATGAATAATATATTACATCACTTAGATCACCATTAATTGTGGAAGTTATTATTTGACTTAATCTTAAATAATAGTCCATTAGAAACCTCCGTAGCAGAACGCAAATGTCAGCGTTGTAAACACCACCTAACTGAAGATCCCCCGTTGATTCCCAGCAGTATCAATGTATAAAACTTATCTCAGGTTTGCTGTGAAGTGGTCTTTGTTTGTGACTCCTTAATGTTACGACATAACGATAGGTTGTTTAGTTACTGTGTAAATTAGCAAACAATAGCCGTAAAAACATATGTTGTGAGTTTTTTCCATAAAGTTGTGTTTTTGCGAGAGGTGTGGTGAATAAATAACTGTCAAACGGGGGTACTGGCATTATAATTCCAAAACACCATCGCGACACATAACATTATATTAATATTTCTTTATTGTTTTGAAAACTAGTTTTACTACTTTGATGTTCCACATCTGCCGGGCGTCCCGTGACGGCCAAGTTTTTTTTTTGTTGGCCCAATAGTCAGGACTCATTTTAGATTTGGAGAACATCCGATAATACACACACGCATACAGTCGATTAGTCAAGGACATGACAATGGAGACACTTACTAATAATATTTACAGCATTATTTATTTGCGTATTGCGTATTTATTATGGTCGTAACGTAACCTCTATTCTATGCAATACCGAAAGTTGCTTTTATTCCACTACCTCTCCTAGTATGAATTTACAATTAAATATAACCAGCATTTTATCCCCAGTTAGGTCATTATTTATGATTATATTATGTGTTTTAAATTATAGGTCCTAGTCACCTAGTTATACCCACTGGATGCGCAAAGTGCAATTTGTGCAGTTGCAATTCTGTGTGTGGACAAAGATCCCTAGAGGAACCCTATGTCCAGCAGTGGAATTCCATTAACTGATAATGATGATATAAATAAATTATAAACATTATCAGTTAGTGGACGTGGAGATATCATATGTAATCTTATTTAAGTACTGTTTAGTGTCCATTAGCAGGGCAGGCGAGGCTGTGGCCCAGGTGCCCCCACAAAACAGACTGAATTTGAGGCAAAGCAAAATAATGCTTAGTTAGTGGTTTTCGGCTTAGATCAATGATTGGTCTTCCTTCGCTCGACTAGATACCGCACTGTCTAATAATAACAGCTTCGTAAATTCGGCAACTCATTATTGTAGTGTGCTTAAGTCAATTTGCAAGGATGCTATTGTGTGTGTGAAGAATCGAGTCGCCAGCTGCTCAACTGCTACCTAAGTACTTAATAGGAAAATTATTTTATGCTGTGTTCTATTGGTTGTAAATATGTAAGTGATTATAATTAATATGTTACAGGTTATAAATTTAGCTCAGCAAATACTTAAAGAAGAACACTTAATTAAATTCGAATATATAAATATTTTTGTATATTACTAATACGATTAGGCCTCAATTTCTTATTTTTATTATATGTGATATAAGGTAGATTAGGTACAAAGATAAACATCGAATAATAGAAAACTAGGTTAAGTTTAATAGTCAGTTTAAATGACATGGGTTAAATAATAATAAGCATAAGTTAACATTATAAAAATCTCAATCCAAGGGCCAAATATATAATTCTTATATACGCGGCAACACCTGAATGACGTTCATGTTATTTTATGTTGAAATTTCGAAATTAATTATACTTATTCATCAATAAGGTTGTGGTATGGTATGTGATCCCAGTGTCCTTCTTATTTCTTGTAGTATTATTTTACTGTGTAAACTGGTATTTTTCTTTCAATTATGGCAATTTTTAATAAAGCATTCAGTACGTACACCTCATACACAATTACTGTCAGTGTGACTGGCTCAGTGAAGGCTCGGGTACGCCGACTTTGGTGTAGTATTTGTTGCCGCATTTGACAAGTACGCTGGTGGTATTTAACAGTCAACCGCAGAGAGACCAGTCATTCATCTATTATGGTTTTGGGTAACTCTTACCCCTTTATTAATAAATGAAGACTATGCTTGGAATAGTTACTCCATGTTCTGTCTCTGTTCATTGAATGACAAATGTCATTTGAGTGATATAAACAAAACACGGCGTAATTAGTCTAGTCTTATTCTTCGTTTATTAATAAGGAGGTTAATGTATTTCTGTGGGGCAACTTGACCTGTGGCCTTCGATTAAATCAAAAAAGGTTTTTATTTATTTAATCTAAGGTTACAAGCCTTTTTTGTTTTAATCTAAGTCTGTGACTATCGCAAATTCGCGATTTATCTTATTGTAGACATTACCGATTAGATCAAATGCATACCTCGTAAGAGTTCATTTTAAAATAAGCACGTACACTTACTAGTTAATATTAACAATGTTCAGAGTAGTTCATATAAAAATTACTTTCAATATTACAAAGCTTCAATATTAAAATGCTACTAACTAACCCTTTGTAGTTGTTAAGAGGATAAAAGTATCTAAATTATAGATGTATTTAGAATGTAATTTTAATGCACATACCTACTTACAGTTCAATAATATAATGTTATTATTAAGTAGTTCAACATGACACTTTCATATGACACAGTATACATGCTTTTAGGATTCCTACTCCTTATTATATTACTAAGCATAACTTAGTACTTAAGTACCTTAAAGAAATATCAGAAAAATAAACAGAAAAAGCATTTTTATAAATTAAATACTAACAATATGAATCGATCGGGCGATTTGAGTAGAATAATGAGGCTCGGGTGAGCTTCAAAACCGGCTTTTGTTCGTATTAAATAAGCGGCAGAACATTAAACAAAAAAGTTAAATAATCAAGAATTAGCGCCTCACTCACCTCTATTAGGAATCTTCGAGGGCGACGTCCCTCCACGCCGCCGCTGGACGAAACAGGCGCCGCGCTTGGAACATAAACACTGCACCAATGCTTAAAACAAACCCGGAATAAATAGATTTTACGCGGAATTACATCCAACACTGCACTTCCACTATGATTGACCACTGAAATCCGATTGTTTCGTGTGTTTTAGTCACAATTTATAAATAACTACGCGCATGTCACTCTGCAACGTTGGTTAAAATTTACCGCACCAGAGTAACGCCCTCCACAACTGCCGCTCGATGACTAGCGGACGTGTGCCATTGGCCGGGTTAATTCATTTCTACGCTGGGTAGAGGGGGAGGGAAGCTGTGCGGAGGGAAGAGATGGCATCTTTTTTTCACTTGCCGGTTTATAGCTACCAGTTCAAAATAATGAATGAATGAACAATAGAATAAAATTTTTAACTTACCTTACCAATGCAGTGTGAAATCTATTTTGTGGTGAAAATAAACTTATTAAAATTGCATTCACTACTTTATTATACATACGGACTGACAGACAGACAGTCGACAGAGTGACAGTAATAGGGTTCCGTTTTTACCCTTTGAGTACGGAACCCTACAAAATTGAGATGTGCCAGATCCGGCCACTATCGTACTTAGTGGGCGATTATTATGTAAAGAGCCCTGGCTATCCGACTGCATTTTTTGCATCGATTTCTCAATAAAATTTAGGTATGTATATTGGGAATACCCCTTATTAAAAACCTGAATTGTTTATTAAAAATTTTTTTTTGACGTTGACGTTGGATTTGCGACTGGGAGGAATCGTCAGTGGTTGAATTGAACATTTGATCGCAGAACCTAACTGAGGTATCAAGATTTGATGTCGGTATTTAATCAAGGGCGGATCCAGCTTTGGCGCCAGGAGGGGGTCATATAGTCGTGGTCAAGTCACAGTGGGTACAGATTGGGAAGTACAGATTGTGAAGTGGGTACAGATGAACCCAGCCCAGGGGGGGATCATGACCCCCATGACCCCCCCTCTGGATCCGCCCTTGTATTTAATACGGTTGTTTTACCACGAGAAATTATCAGTTGGTATTGGTAACACTTGACTTTAAAAATGTCTGATATAAATTGAAGAAGCCACTTTAAGTTTAGGAGGGCTATCCCTAAAAAAGTATGGCTTACAACAACCAAGCAGGTCTATAGCATTACAAAAGAGAGAATTGATTAAAGAAACTAGCTAGTTAATGTATAGCTTTAGTGAGGTTAGACAGGAATAACTATGATTTATTAACAGAAAAAAGACATTATATGAACAAATAGAAACAAGTGCGAATGCAAGTAAGAGCCAAATTTTTTTTAGATGCTCTAGGAGGAACCGGCGAAACCTACCGTGACATTGGATTAGCTATGGCTTTATCAGGAATTGTCGCAACACTTTTACAAGGCGGTCAGACCCTCACGCTCTGCCTTAAAGTAGCCACTGAACCTAACAAATGCGGAAATTCCATTATGATATATTTCAAAACAGAAACAAATTGCAGAAGTATTGAGAAAGAAATGTCTGGGACAAAAGTACTATGGCCCATAAAAGTATAGAAACTTTGAATAGGACTCTGCAAGATATACGCAGTAACAAAAATTTTATGGGTGGTTTGACTGTATTGCTGGCAGGAGACATTCGTCAAACTCTATCAGTAGTTCCAAGGGAAACATGCGCCGATGGAATAAAAGCGTTTCTTAAAAAATCATCATTGTGGCCCTCTGTTAAAATTTGAAAATTAACAAAAAATATGAGAATCTACCTTTTCGGAGCTTTTGTTAAAACTGGGTAACGGTGATTACCCCGAAAAAGAGTGCATGATGTCTGTCCCTTCCGATCTGTGCACTTCAGTAACGAAAACCTGATTTCAAAAATTTTACCCAGAAATTGCGATCATCCCGGAAAAATCAATGGAGTTGTTATGCGAAAGAGCTATACTGACCCCAAAGAACGACCAAGCAGCGGTCATTAATGACATATTACTGAACTCCTTAGAAGGACAACAGATTGTTTATAACTAATGAGTTATAAACAATCTGTTGTCCTTCTTTATCTAATGAGATACTGCGGTAGACTCTGACGATGCCGTTAATTAACCAGTAGAGTTCTTAAAAACTTTAAACCCTCCGAGTCTGCCATACCACAGACTTTTACTGCGTGTGGTTACAACACCTGTTATCCTATTAAGAAATTTAAAGCCATCCAAACTTTGCAACGGCACTAAGTTTCCAGTCAAAGCTTTGCACCGGAACGTAGTAGAAACCACAATTTTGAGTGGACCTGATCAGGAAGAAACAATGTTTGCACCATGTAATCCATGAATACCAAATGATCTCCCCTTTGAACGCAAAAGGCTCCAGTTTCCCCGGAAGGTCTCTTTCACCATGACCATAAATAAGTCGCAGGGGCAAACTAACAAATTCGCCGGAGTAGACCTGCGACAGGACTGCTTCTCCCACGGTCAGTTCTATGTGGTATGCTCCCGTCTCGTGTAAGTTTACCTCTAAGTTTATTTCTATTGCTACCACCTTCAAACATGGCAAAAAATGTTGTTTATAAGGAAGTACTATAACAAGTATGTATATAGTTGTTAAACACTACATCTGTTTAATTATGACATCTTCTGTTTAACATTTAGGTATCAGACTTGCAATGAAAAATTCACATAATTTTTTTATTTAAGGTAAATAGGAACATGATAAGTGTATCAATAAGTAGTAAAAGTTTGTGATATGGAATACCAGTTGCGCTATATTCAAAGTGTTTAAGAAATCTACTGAATGATTTACCTGCATCGCTAGTGTTTACCACAGTATTTCTGTCTTTCAAAGGACTTCAACATTTATAATCGCTAATTGGTCGTTATCAGACCTTTTACTGTTACTTTAGTGCACAGATACTTTTACTAAGGGCCCTTTAAATCACGCTTTAATCTCATGGGCACTTTCCCCTTGGGCCTATCGAAAAATTATGTTGTATTTAATTTATTCGATCCTTATTTTTGCCAAAATCAACGAAATTCAATGGTTTCGCAGGTTCCCAAAATGTATATTTTTTTGTTCATCTGTTAATGAATCACAATAATTATTACTACTTATACTGACAAACCTTATAAAGTTATCATATCGTTAAGTATAATCCTTTTATCGGCTATAGTACTTCCATCGTTGACAATCATTTAAGGTTTTTCATAATACTTCTGTAAGTTTCTCTGTTCTGCTCTGTACCCTTAGTACGAGTTTGAGCTCACGAAAACTATCATAGTTTTCGTAATTGTAAATTATGTTTCTATGTGTATTTTGGTGAAATGTAACCAAATATACTTAAAATTTAAGAAGACGCACATGATTTAATGATATAATATTAACACTGTTTATTTGAAAATCAGTACTCTTAGTACGGTGCGAGTTCACGAAAACTACCATAGCTTTTTTTTGTTTCACATTAGGATTTAAGTATATTTAAAAAAAAATAACTTAAAGATCTGTGATGTAGTAAAATTATTTTAATTATATGATAAGATTACAGTAATTCGATTATAACGGTTTTCGGTATTGTTAGATTTATTTAATTGTCCTGTTATAGCATCCGAGATTTATTTTTGTTTACTATCTTGTACCCTCAGTGCGACCAGCCATTCCGCACACAGTTTAGTTTCAGTCTAATAAAAATCAGGTCTACAAGTGATTGAGATCAGTGATTTTTTGTTTCAGAATAATGTCTAAACGTAGCCAAAATTAGTATTTACAAAATATCAAAACGTGAAAGAAATCAGGAAATGTGACTTTACTATTACTTGAACTTTATTGTGGTTAAATGAAGGTCAAATATTGAAGTGATTAAAATATGACGTTATAATTAACAACATTGACCAACGAATTTTTTTACCCGACTTAACACGCGATATTAACATGAGCTACTTTTGCTCCGAATTTCAGTAATTTTGCAAAGTTAATACGATATTTATTAACTAAAGAGCCGAGTTGATATTAAATTGATTAACTCCTTTCATTGTCAGTTTCAAGGTCAAATATTAAAGTGATTTAAATATGACGTAATAATTAACAACATTGACCAACATACTTTTTTGCCCGAGTTAACACGCGATGTTAACCAGTGCTACTTTTGCTCCGAATTTGAACCATTGTGCAAAGTTAATACGATATTTATTAACTATTGAGCTGAGTTAATATTATATTGAAAAGCTCCTTTTATTTTTATTTTCAACATAGCTGGTTAATCGCCTACATGACATATTTACCAGATTTTTGTGGAATTTCCTATATTTCGACCGACCGCCAATTATGCCACATTCCACATCTCGAATGCGTCGTGTCATATTGCAATTCCGCAGGACAACTCTATTTAAATCCTCGTTTCGCAACAATTGCCTCTAATTTACATTGTTCCAAATGTAGGTCAACTGAGCATTTACAAATATTCACATGTAGAATAATGTAACACGCACAACATAAACCAGATATTTTAACATGAACTTTTTATGCGAAAAGTTTTGAGAACAAGCATGGTCCAACTGACATCTCTTGGAAAGCGCCTATAGAATAGATGCACTGATGCTACCTGTACAATAATGCCACGCCCAATAATAACAAAAACAGAAAATGAACCTTCTTTAGGAAATAATCTTAATCGGAAAACCCGTAATTTTACGCTGAAATCTCCGGTTTGGTGTTTGGTATATTTTATTTATTTACAACTTTAATAAATTATATAAATAAGTGAACGTCACTTATATTTTTCAAATTAAAGAGTAAATAAATGTGTAACTAATTGAAAGCAGAAAGAGTAAAAATGTGAAGAAACAATAAAAGATTAAGGATTGTATTGTGTAATGTTCAAGATGAAATTCTTGTCTCACTGGTGCATATATTTATGCTTAAATTATCCTTTAACTAATGGTCGGGCTTTGTTCGTGCCTGCAATGCATCAAATCGAGTATGAATCTTGTTCTGGTTACGTTTGACAGACACAGTCAAGTTGGCACGCAAATAACACTCTGACGTCACACTCACACTGCTGCATTAGTCTGAGGTTGGAGGTTGGAGCAATGCCCTTACTAAAGAGAATCATTCATCGAAATCGATAAGACAGCATTATATCCTTTATAATGAGTTCTGTAGTTGTGTATGGTTGCCAGATCTTCACGAAATAGATAGAGATACTAAGTTCAGCCAGCCAAGGTGAGGGAGCATGAAATGATTGAAACCTCAAATTGCACGTTTCGC